ATAACGACCAGGAGATCGAGGACAATCAGAAGATGGGTTGGGTGGTGTAGTGGTGGGCTCATTTTCCTTCTATGTTAGTGTCCATGCAAATTAAAACCTGCTAGTGGTTTTAGTATTATCGACTATTTTATGTAATTTGATTTACTTATATCAGACAAGAATTATAATATACTTTATCTAACGAGTTAGGTAGTGCGAGGTATACACTCGTTCAACGATATTACAATTTCATAGCGGAGTCCGGAGGTTGCCGCCCCACTAGTAGGGTCCAAGGGGCAGAGCCCCTAGCCGGAGGATAAACGTCAATTTGAACCTAAAATCGCAAGGATCCTTTCGCGCGAACAATTTCACCTTAAGCAAATTTCCGCGTCTACACGAACGTTCATGTCTGCTCATCAATTTGACTCTATAAATAGTCTTGTAGGTATGGTGGAGGGAATCGGATTTTCAGTGCTTATTGTTGATTTAACGTCTTATCCAAATAAAATATTTTGGTATACCTCGAAATAAATTTGATCTGAAAGCGGTGTACGCGATTCGTTATACTCTATCAAGTTATTCTTTTCATTATTTGATGAAAAACCTCTCGTAAAATGTAAGGTTGAGCCATTGAGAAATCAAAATCTGAATTTTACATCGAAAGAAATTGAAGAAATAAAAGTCACATTGATTTTTCAAATCTTGAGAATTAAAGAAATTAGAAAAGAAATCTAGGTTTAAAATCTAGGAGATTGAGAAATTAAAATCGCATCTATATTTTAAATTTTAAAAAATAGAGGAAGAAGGAGAAAGGAGAGACGGGAGATCTAACGGTCAGAAGCAGAAGAAAGAGAAAAAACAGAGGGTGTGACACAGAAAGAAGAAGAAGAGTGTGGAAGGATGAATAGGAAGAGTAAAAGAAAGAACCAGAAAAGAATTGAGGAATGAGGTGTGTAAGGGAGAGAACCTCAGAATTGCTCAACATGTGACGAGTTCACTTGGCAAATTTCTAACATATTGTTCGCCACCTCTTAATAATTTAATGATGTGGCAATTTTAAACAAAATATACTCCCTCCGTCCTAAAACTTTCTTCCCGTTGCGTAAAACGAAGAAAAATTCCAAGTTTTTTTAATATATTTTATTTAAATATTGCTATAGAAATAAAAAATAAAACATATATATTTAAAAACTACATCAAAAGTTCAACAAAACAAGTGGTGACAAGAATATTTTATTTTATCATATAGGCCATGAAAAAACACAAATAAATATAAATTCCCGTGAAATTGGAATACTACTTTGGAAAGATAGTTTTAGGATGGAGGGAGTATAATATATGTCTTATATATTAGAGTGCAACTAAAGTTTTTTTAGAATCTTTATCTTTATATATTAACTTTGAGATTTGATAAAATTGGCAAATTGGTCGATCAGGTCGGGTTCAGATTCAATCACTTTGAGTTCAAATTATTTTGGATTCGGGTCAATTCAGTTTGGACTGACGACTGTATGTTCATTACCCAATGTCAACGGGTTCAAGTTGATCCAATGAGTTATGACTTTAGTTTTAAAAATTTTTAAATTCATTTTAACATCTGAATTTCGCATTAAATAAAATTAAGATATTAAAAATATGTATTAAATCTTTTATTTTATTTTAGATTCTAAAGTAATTTTTAGGTATAAAAATCAATGTAAAAAATTTAAAAAATGCATAATTTTTAGAAAAAAGTAAGATAATTATGCATATTCTTTTTTATAAATGATATTCAAATACTATTTTATTTAAAAATTAAATAATAGAGGTTGATATTTAAATATTCTTAAAAAATTAAGAAAAATTATCTCAAATAATCTCACCTTTTCGTGCTCTTTCAAAAATAATCTCACTTTCACTCTCAGCGAAAACCATCCCACCTTTCCGCATGTGTGTGAGCTTTGGGTCGCCGTTAAAAAACTAACGGTCACTTAACAAAATTTTAAAAAAATGCCTATTTTCGCAAATAAATGAAAGGTGAGATTATTTTAGGTAAATTCTCCCTTTTTTGTTTTTTAATTCCTAACTTTATATTTTAATGTATTTTTAATTTTTTTTGGAAAAATAATACCAAATTTAAGTATTTTTAGAGTGAAACTAATTGTTTTTTTCAATAATCGATAATCTGGTAATAATTAGAAAATATATTATTCTGCATAATAGAGCTAATTTATTTACTTCATAAACTACATTTTTTTGTAAATTGCATTTATTTTTCTTGAGCTGCACTTCAAATTGTTTTTTGATAGTATATTATTATTATTTCTTAAAAAATGGCACTACAAAACTTATGAATATTTTTCGATAGTTTTATATAAATACTTTTTGTGAAACAATACTACAGTAGTTGTGAAAATAACACAACAATTTTTTCTCTGAAATAAAACTTTTATTTTTATAACTCACTACATTTTCTGATTAATTGCAATTTTTTCATGAACACTCCGAAATATTTATTGATAATCTTATATTTCTTGTATTATTTTTTTAAAAATGTAACTACCCAATTGTGATTTTTTTATAATTCAATACAAAATTTTCCCAAAAATAGTAATTCAAAAGTTATGAAAATGGCAAAATATTTTTTTCTCTGAAATGGCACTAATAAATACTCCTTCCGTCCCAAATTATAATGCATGTTTACTATTCACAGGGTCAAATTTCATTCACTTTCTTTCTCTATTTTCGTTAGCAATTTGATAAAATAAAATATTATTGTCACTACTAGTTTTTTAGATCTTTTGATATAGTTTTTTTAATATGTAATTTTTATTTTTTAATTCTATATCATTTGTCATATAAAATGGTTTGAAAATAATTTCAGTCAAACATCGTAAACCGAAATAGATGTTATACAATGGGACGGAGGTAGTATTATAAATCACTACAATTTTTTGGTATTTCAATTTCATTCTTGATCAATACTTTGAATTATTTTTGATAATTCAATATTATATTTTCCCAAAATAGAAAACAAAATTTGTCAATCGTTAGTCTAACAAGAGTATACTATTATATTTTTAAAAATATTAATTTTAAAACTAAAAAAAGTAAAAGTAAATTTGCCTAAAATAATCTCACTTTTCATTTATTTGCGAAAAACAGACATTTTCTAAAACTTCCGTTAAGTGACCATTAAGTTTTTAACGGTGACCCAAAACTTACATACATGCAAAAAAGTGGGATTATTTCCAGTTACAGTGAAAAATGCGATTATTTTTAAAAAAACGCAAAAAGGTAGGATTATTTGAAATAATTTTTCCAAAAAATTAAAATGTATACTATGTATGTTAAAAGGTAAAAAAAATATAAATGGATAAATAATGCATTTGTATTATGGGTAATAAATTAATTATTAATTGTATTTTGCAATCTAAGAATTTATGGTATAATATTAATTGTTATAAATGCAATTACTATCAAATAATATTTTTGAATTCTAATAGTTATATTTTTGGTTGAAAATTAATTGTTACATTCTTAAATAGTACACGGTTCATTTGTAGAAAAATAAATAGAATTTGAATATTATAAGAAGTTATTAATGGAGAAAAGGTATAAAAATGTATATATTTATGTGTTTAAAGAAAATATTACAAATTTTTAAAGGCAAAAAAAGTTATACATGGTATGTAACTCATTCAAAGGCAAATAAACTCATCTACTTCGTTACTAACTCCAAAGCTTTAATTTTTGAAAAACTATCATGTATAAAAACCAAAAAATATATTTATCGCACATGCCAAAAAGAAGTATGAAAAGTGTTGTACTGCTTCATAAACAAAACGAAAGTCATAAAATAGATTAGGAGACAAAACCTCACAATGTTTTAAAACTGTTTTGTTTAAAAATTACTCTAAAAACAAAGATGAAACTTACACATTTAAAAATTACGTTAAAAATTTAACAAAATAAAAATAATGGCATGCCTACTTTATTCTATCAAATGATCAATGAAAGCACTTTTGCAAGTCGCTACTGCCAAACAAAAATGCTCAAACATCAACAGCATGTGTGTAATGGTTGATCACAACTCTGAGCTAAAGTCCCCAATTTCAGTGAATATCTTAAGAGCCAAAATGATTAAAAATGTACGCAATATGAGAGAGTGAAAATTAGTCCCTGAAAATATGGCAATGCCAAACATGTCAATAACCATGATTTAGCTCAATAACATCGATTCATAATTGCAGCCAATCACTTGACTAGCTATTTCAGTTCTTACCTGATAAACTCCAAAATTAATGAGAAATTGGACTACTTGAGTTTCTTCCAAGTTGAACCCTATAATTTCATTTCAAGAACACAATATGACACTAAAATTTAAAAAATACATTTACTATTC